CAACCACCACACATTTCTGGCTTACTGATGCTTGCAGTGCCTTTGGGTGCCCATCTGGCCCAGTCCTTGGGATTGACAGATCTCTGCCCCTTAGATGCTCTATGCACATTTAGCTCAAACTCACCCTGGAATTCTCAACACTGCTTTAGATCTGGTCCTTTAATAACAAGGATGATATTGTTGAAAGATTGCTCAGATGATGTAATTACCGTAACTACATCGAAAAAGCATTACTGTGGACTATTACAAAAATAACTTTTTAAATAGTGATACTTTTTTAATAGTGATACTTATTTTATGTTACTAAAAAATGTCTGCCTAAATGCCTTTTATTTTCCATACATCGAAAGCTACTGAAGGAAGGTGAAAGCTGCGTTTGTTTATCATCATTTCCAGGCTGCAGAGAATATACCAATTATCTGGTAAATACTGCTGGAACTGTGGTTGAGAAATGGAAGGAAAAATGTATCAGCAATGATGCTCTGGAATCTGTTCCTGGGTGGATCCTGGAAGAAAGAACAGCAAGATATCAGTTCTGCTTTTTCTTGGGGGAGTGACCTCCTGACAGAGCAGGAAGTTACTCCTTGGTCTTTGTCGCCAAGATCTTTGGAATTTGCTGGGTGCTTCAGCCCCATCTCATCACCAGTCTCATCCAACACCTCCACTGTGTCTGCTGTTCTACCTGGTAGGCACTATTCAGTACCAACAAGCAAATGCCAGTGGGATTAGGAGGGTAGTGAATTCAGAAGCAAGTAGGAACTGCAAGACACATGCACACAGTACTCAGGACAAGTAAAACACTCTGAACCAAGGCAAATGACATGATGGTTCCCCAGTTCTTCTCATCTACTTTCTTGTTTTACGTAGATAATAAAAGTAACACATACTCAGAGGGAAACTACAGCAGTCCAAAAGCCACCCTCCTCCCCATTGTATTCCATAACTCTAACTGTTGTTAAGGACAGGTGTTTGTCCCTGCATTATGGCAGAGAAAGTTAATCATTTGGTCACAATGCCTGCAGGTGGCATGTCAGGAAGATGGCCCAAGATGCCACTCATGTGGGAAATGTGTATGGCTCCCAGATTTAGCCGGTCCAGACCTGGCCACTGGAATTACCAGAGAAAGGAATCTCGTGTGTGTGTGTGTGTGTGTGTGTGTGTGTGTGTGTGTGTGTGTGTGCTTCTCTACTTGCCATTCTGTCTTTCAAATAAATAAAATAAATATTTTAAGAACTGATGCGACTTGGGGACACTCAGGTAATAAACCCAAGTGCCTCAGCTTGTGTTTGGCTTGGTTTTACTCTTGATCCCAGCTTCTAGCTAATGTCAACCCTGGGAGCCAGTGGTTCAACTAGTTGGATTCCGAGCACTCACATGGGAGACCTGGATCATATTCCCAGATCCCTGCTCTCTGCTGTGGAGGCATTTTGTGGTGGTGGTGGTGGGGGGGAATCAGTGCATGGGAACTCTGTCTCTGCCTCTTTGCTTCTTAAAAACATTTAAAAAAAATAGTACAGAGAAATACTTTGAAATGCATGATTACATGAATACATGCAATAGTCATGTGCTTCACCAGAGCATTTTGGTCATCAACAGATGGCATATATGGCTGGATGCACCATATAGCCAAAGTGCATAGTAGGCTGTGTCATCTAGGTTTTAAGTACATGCTATGATGTTTATACAACTACCACAATGTCTAGAATTAGTTCTAAGAACACATCCTTACAATGCTTAGCTGTACAGTATACAATACACATATAACGTGTATATTTATATGCATGCAGAAAGGTAGAATTTGACTGTGTCAATGGGATGCAATGATGAGAAGAAAAAATGAAAATGGTTGCTCAAGGATGTACAGCAGGGAGTTGAGTTGGAAGGAGACTTTGGGCTCTTAAAGGGTCAGGCTTTCGTAACTGAAGGAAAGAAGTAATGGAATACAAGGATGTATGAAGAAAGCAGTAAGGTCTGAAAACAATAAGGTATTTGTGTTACAAAACATTTTTGCAATATAGGAGGTGGAAGACCCAACATCTAGCTGGCCATGACTTCCCTCACTGAACTATAGGACTATATTATATGTTTCTTGCAAGTTTATTACAAAGAGTAATTGTGAATTAGCATACTTAAACTGCTGAGTGCTGTGCCTGAAACACCTTACAGAACTCCATGGAAGTGTGTGCTAGTCTTCTGGTGGTTGTCACCGTTGGGGGCTGGTCTTCTGGTGTCGTCACTGTTGAGGGGATGCTGTTTTTGCTTTTGTTAGAGCGTGTAGCCCAGTGCCTGCACATACCGAACATCTGCAACCCACTTCCAGAAGGAGCCCCCTGATAGCATTCCAGTTTCCATTTTAGAATTCATTTTTTGGCCACTCCCCATGTTTCTTCTGCTTCCTTATTTAAGGGTTAGACATTTCTTACTTTAGATTGTGTACCCTTGAAAAAAGCTTTCTTGTACCTCATAGACACATACAAATCCCAGGAGATACACAGAGGTGCTTTGGGTAGCAAAGGCCAGCGTTCACTTTTTTAACTCCTCTCCGGACACAGCCCAAGCTGTTGTTTCAGCAGAGGCGTCTATTATTTGCTGCACTTCACTACCTGAAGATATGTTAGATCTGCTTGCTTAACAAAGACACCTAAGCAATTCAAAGGCTACTTGTGTAGCTCTCTGCATTTTAGCAACATTGACTCAGCAGCTGCATTTGAGATAGCCTGGGCCAGTCAGGCTGGCCCCTGAGATACTGTTTCCTCTTTTACTTAGGATGGCAGGCTTAGCAAGCATACTTAGCTTTAACACTCTGCATCTCCAAATGCTCTTGGTTGTCAGTAAAGCTAACCCTGCCTACGTACTCCTCCATTTTTGATGTATAAATAGGCTCTGCTGCCTGATAATTACACACCCTCTATTTGCACAAGCGCATTCCTTCAGGAGCCCTGGCGAGGACAGACAACTTTGACTTCTGTGAAGTTACCTGGAAAGTATCTTCTGAACTGTTTGTCCCCCGGTTGGACCTATTTTGAAGGACTGATGATATTTCTTCTGCTCTACAAAAAGCCAACACTCAATTTCCAACCTACACAGGAAATCCAGCATCTAATTTCTAACAGCTCATCAAAGGGACAGGCCCAGGATGGGCTGGAGCGTGTCAGACAGGTGTGTGCTGTGCAGTTACAATCATACATGGCCACACATGCTTGTAGCTGTGAAAAGCTGGTGACACAATAAGAAATGAGAGCAAAGAAAAATCACGAAGGCAAGCAAAGCATGGTCTTAGATGTAATTAAGGACTTAGGCTGAGGGAAGAAGAAGGGATTGCGGGCACCCAGAAGCAGACACAGGAGGGAAAACACCTTGATTAACCGCGGTGGAATTTCCTTCCTGGGCAGAACCGAGAACTTGAACACTAATCCTGAGTATTCTATAGCACTTCCAGATGTGGCATTTTGCTCATTTCTCTGTAAAACGTGGTGAAAGAGGTAGATGAAGCATCCTGGCTTTTACAGACGTGTTGAAGGGAAGCGAGAAGAGGCCTGTGGACTTGGTGGTCACGCTGGGTCTCTGTTCTGCGTCCCCAGCAAGGCTTCTCCACCTGACATCTGGGGCTGCAGGAAGCTGACTGCTCCGTGGGTGTGATGGGGGCCCACTTCTTCAGCTGGCAGCCTCCGCTTTCCCATCTTAACATCAAAGGTTAGTTTGGATGTCCTCAAAAGCCCTGCCCAGCTGCATTGGGGGTGGGGGGGAAGGGCAGTCCGTTTGGAGGGCCAGGGAGGGGACAGTGAGTCCGGGGTGAGCAAGAGGCTTGTTTCAGGTGTTACTCAAGGCTGACAAATCAGAAAATGGAGAGCCTGGGTGTATACTGGACCAGAGGGCAAAGGCCATGGCTTCATAACTTCCAGGTAACACGCGTGGAGCCACTGGGTACATTTCCGCGTGCAACTGAAAAAAAAAAAGTGGCATTCAGGTCTCTCAGCTCTCTGGCTGGATGGGCTCAGGGTCAGACCAGTAGGGGTTCCACAGAGTGCTGGCTGAGTCGCTCAGAAGGCTCCTGGAGGTGAGGGGGGTCAAAGTGGAGACACAACTTTGGCAGGCTTGAGCCGGCATCCACGACCGTCCTCCTGGGTCCTCTGGTGGCCCTGGCCGGGGCTAGTCCTCCCTCTGGGCCGCTGGGCCGGAATCTCCCTCGCGCAGCTGACCCGCAGGCGGGGTAAGGGGGCGTGAGGGGTGGGAAGCGGGTGAGGCGAATTCCTAGAAACTCTAAGAGGCCGCCTGGGGTTGGAACTTAATGATACTGCAAGAACGCTAGAGGTTGGGGTTTACACCGCCCTCGGTCACTAAAAGGCCTAGGAGGAGGGCGCAGGAAAGGAAAACGCCCCCTTAGAGCCTCAGACTAGCCGGGAGCCCAGCGGCGATTCAGTCCCCAGCGCCTGCCGGAGGGGATTTGGGGGCGCGGTGCTGCGGACAGCAAAGAGCAGAGCAGCCGAAAAGAGTGGCGGGGCCGCAGGTAACTGGACGCCAGAGAGGAGGAGGGCTGGGCCGGGGCGGAGGCGCAAGGGGGCAGCTTGCTTCGGTGCCCCGGGCACTCGCCCGATCTCCTCGGCTTTAGCCTCGAGTGGGGACGGTGAGTCAGATCTCCGGCACCCGCGGGTCCGGCGCGGAGGGGGTGGGGGTGGCAGGTCAGGAAATGACATCAGAGGCCTGTGCTAAGGGGAGGGGTGGTCTGCGACCGGTCAGGGCGGCGGGGACGGGCGGACCTTCGAGGAGCCTCGGGCCCGGGGCAGGATCGGGGCCCCTTCCTGGGGGAGCTTCCTCCCTCGCCCGCCCTCCCCGGCTCTCCCCGCCCCCCTCTCCGGGCCGCTCCTTGTATGGTCGCGGCGCCGCTCTCTCCCCGCCCCCTGCCGCCCTCCCTCCGCTCGCCCTGCGTCCCTCCCCGCCTGGCTGGAGGCTTGCTCCGGACCGGGACGCACAGTCTGCAGACCCGGCGCCCAGGCGGCCACTGGAGAGCCGGCGCGCACGCTCCGGCCCGCGGTGAGGCGCGGGGCGCAGGGCGCAGGGCGCAGGGATCCGGGAGCTGGCGGGCGGGGGTCGTCGGGAGGTGTTGAGGCCGCCTACCGAATCTCTAGCCCAGCCCAGCTCGGCGCTGCCTAACCTGGCGACCCACCCCCCTGCAGCCCGGCCTGGCCATGGCGGCCCCCCGCCCGCCTCCCGCGATCTCCGTCTCCGTCTCGGCTCCGGCATTTTACGCCCCGCAGAAGAAGTTCGGCCCGGTGGTGGCCCCGAAGCCCAAAGTGAATCCTTTTCGGCCCGGGGACAGCGAGCCTTCCTCAGCGACCGGAGCCCAACGTGCACAGCTGGGCCGGGTGGGCGAGATCCCCCCGCCGCCCCCGGAAGGTATGCAGCCAGGCGTCGGCGTGGGGACTGTGAGTTGGGGCGTTTTGGGGGGCGGCTGCAAAGGTGGCTGTGGAGGGGGCTGGGCGCAGCCACCCTGTCCCGAGCAGATGTTCTTACCTCATCGTGGAGCTCGTGGCTGGGAGCCAGGGCTCCTGGGATCGTTCCAAGTCCCCGCCTGGGGGGTGGGAGGCGGGAATGTGGGCCACGAATCTTCCCCTATGGGTCCGTTTTCCCAAGTGTAACGGGAGCTGCACCACTCCTGGGCCGTGCCCCCACCCCCCCTACCTCCTGTGATCCCTGCGTGCTCTGCGGCCCCCTCCTCCTTTCCTTTAACACGCTTTACCAGCACCGAGGAGAGTTGTTAGGTTAGGGTTAGCGTCGTCACCCCTGTAGACCGAGGGGCCAGGGGTGGTGGGGCCCCTACCGACGGCAGCCTCTCTCTTTCTACCCTAGACTTTCCCTTACCCCCACCCCCGCCAATTGGGGATGGTGACGACGCGGAGGGTGCCCTGGGAGGTGCCTTCCCACCTCCTCCTCCCCCGATCGAGGAACCGTTCCCCCCAGCACCTTTGGAGGAGGACATCTTTCCTTCCCCACCGCCTCCGATGGAGGAAGAGGGGGTGCCTGATGCCCCCATGCCGCCCCCGCCACAGGTATGCAGGCCTGGGGGAGGGTCAGTGCACTGGGACACCCACCCCAGAGAAGGAGAGGAAGGTGTTTCCTGTCAGCCCCCCTGCACCTCTGCCCTGTTGGGTGGGTTGTTGGTGGTGCTCTGACCCCTGGTCCTGTAGCCCAGGGAGAAGGTGAGCAGCATCGACCTGGAGATTGACTCTCTGTCCTCACTGCTGGATGACATGACCAAGAACGATCCTTTCAAAGCCCGGGTAAGGGCCTGGAGAGTAGGGAACCGGGACCCAAGGGATGAGAGGCTGGGATGGGAAACCAGGAGGCCAACACCCTTCTCCAACGGTACTTCTCTCCCCTCTGCCGCCCTTGTAGGTGTCATCTGGATATGTACCCCCACCGGTCGCCACTCCGTTCATTCCCGAGGCCAGTCCTAAGCCTGTATCGAGTGGCACAGCACCCCTGCCTCCCTGGAAGACCCCTCCTAGCTCCCAGCCTCAGGCTCAGCCTCCGAGCCAGGGGCTTTTCCATGTCCAGCCCCAGGCCAAGCCTCAGGTCCAGGTGCACGTGCAGTCTCAGCCGCAGGCTCCTGCCCAGCCTGTGTCTTCCGCTAACACACAGTCCCGAGGTCCTCCAGTTCCGTCTCCAGCTCCAGCCCCGAAGTTTTCTCCAGTGGCTCCGAAGTTTGCTCCTGTGGCATCTAAGTTCAGCCCTGGAGCCCCAAGTGGAGCTGGGTCACAGCCCAGTCAAAAACTGGGGCCTCCGGAGGCTCCTGCTTCCACTGGCACAGGTTCCCCTCAACCCCCCAGCTTCACCTATGCTCAGCAGAAGGAGAAGCCCAGAGTGCAGGAGAAGCAGGCTCCTGTGCCCCCACCTGCTCCAAAGCAGAACCAGGTGAGGGATGGAGTGGGCCAAAGCTGAGATCAGGCAGTGGGGGAGGGGGCTCAGCCGAGAGCTTGGGTGAGGTGAGGGTGGGCGTGGTGTTGCTGGGGGCAGGAGTGGTCATCCTGTGTGGTTAGATTAGTGAGACAATGAGAAGGGAAAGCCTGGGCTGGGTGGGGTTTGACTCCAGGTTCTGAGTTAGAAGAAGAATTGGTGCACATTCACTTTTGCCTTGTGTGCTGGGAGGTTAAAGGGGAAGATGAGCTCACCAATCCATCATGGTTTTTCCCCATTCTTGGGCCTTCAGTTAATCTGTACTGCTCTGGTCCTTTCACTGCCCGAGGGCCCATCTGGAGATAAGAGTCAGCAGTCCCAGTAAACACTGACAGAGCCAGCAGCAGCTGGGTGCCAGGCTCTGTGTTCTGTGCTCAAGAGTCTGGGACACTGGAGGGAAGTGATCTCCTGTGGCTGTCCGTCCGATGGGGCTGTGATAGGCTATGTGCACGGCTCATACACTCTTAGGTGAATCCCAGGTCTCACTTTCCTTATTTGAAAATGAATACTGCCCCATACGGTGACTGTGAAGAGTAAAGGAGCTGGGCTCTGATAAATGTCCCAAAGGGGAAAACACAGGAACAGTGCCTGCCCTGTAGTTCAGATGGGAACTGCTGAGTTGAAGGGACCCTGATGGACTATTAGTGCAACCCATCACAGTCCTCCTTCCCCAAGTAGCATCAGGAAGAAAGGCCTAGTGCCAGTGAGATGTGCAGAATTGCATGAGTTCTAAGGAAGCCAGCAATGGGGGCTGGCAAATTGGGAAGGGCTTCCTGGGGCTGGCGTGCCTTGAAGGGCCAGCAGTCCTTAAGAATCCAAGAGGAAAGGGAATGGCCTTTGGATGGGAACGGCATGAGCAGAATGCAAGGCACAAAAATATGGGGTGTTTGGAAAGCAAAAGGTTCCTGTGGGAAAGTTAGTGAGCTATACTTAGAGAGTAGGTGGGGGCTCCAGGGAGTAGGACGTGAAGTGGGCATGCCGGGGGAGTGGATGGGTGAACACTGGGCAAGCAGTGCTTTGTGGTAGGTGTGTGGCTGAGTCATCAGAGCTGGTAAAGCCAGCACTTTGGGGAGCGTTGTGGAGCGCTGCTAGCAGAGATGTGTGTGAGGGGCAGGGAGGTCATGATGTGAGTTTACTTCTAGGCAACAGCGGCACCTCATGAAGTGAAGACCTGTGTTCAGTGCCGCCAAAGAGAAAAAGAACCCATGGGATACAGCAGTGGAGAAGCAGTTGTTGGGGGTGGCGAACGGGGAAGAGGTTCGGAGTGTGGGTGTGTCAGGAATGACAAAATAGAGAAGTCAGAAGGGGAAATGGTTTGGACGGGAGCAAGGGGGTCCAGCTGTCAACATGTTGAGCAACCAGTTCAGGAGGCCTGCCTTCCAGCTGCTGCTGTCATTCTGTTAGCAGCGTAAGCCCAGGGTTCAGGAGAAGGCCCACAGCCGGGTGCGCTGTGTGCACGGCAGTGGTGTACAGTGCCATTGAAGCAGGGGGAGCAGACCAGGGGAACTGAAAGCCTGGGTTGGGACAAGTGGAAGCAGGGAAGGTGGGAGAAGAGCTTACGGAGGAGCGTCTCAGGTCAGGGTAGAGTCCCGGAGAAGACAGTGTGATGACCTGGGAGCCCTGGCAGCCAGGGTCTCAAGGAGTAGGGCCACCATTGGTCTGGTGAGGCCTTGTAGATGGTCTTGGGGAGGCCTGTGTGTGCTCTGTGGAGGGAATAGGCTGTAAGAAAGTGGTAGTGCAGCTTGGTCTCAATGAATGATGTAGAAAGTGACTCAGTGATTGTGAGTGTATATGTGTGTGTGCGGTTTTTTCATTGGGGAGAAGGGATCAGATAAGTGTGTAAGCCAGGAGAAGGGACAGCGAGGAAGAATCAGTGATGACTTTTGAGATGGAGTCGTGGAGTAGAGCTTAGTCACTGCTATGCCCAGACCTTGCCAGAGAGAGCAAGGGCATGGTCCCTTCAGTGTTTCTATGGAAAGGAAGGTTGAAGAAGGAGCTTAAAATTGGCTGGCTTCCAGCTTCTTGGTGATGTGGGAGATGAAGTCATTGGTGGGCTTGAGGGCATGAGGCTGTGATGGGATTGGAAGAGATGGGAGTTTTGGCACTGTAGCAGTGGGGACAGCACTTGGAAATGTGAGAGGGCCACACAGGCAGGCTGAGGCTACAGGGTGTGCTTGCAGGATGCTGCGGTGTTCTTGGTCTCCCCACCTACTTTCTGCAGCTTGGAGGCAGAAACAGGAAGTGGGCAGTGGTGTGACCTGGGGTTGGGGATTGGCCAGATCACTGAGGGTGGTGTGGGGAGAGTGGCAGAGACAGAACCAAGTACAGATAGCTGGTGAAGGCACATGAGGTGTATGGGGACTTTGAGGAACTAAAGCCTTGTGCTTGGGTTCAGTTAGCATGAATGGTGGAGGGGAGAGGCAGGCAATGGTGACAGGTGGCCTTGGAAAACAGACTCCATCTTTGCTCTCAGCAGCTGATGAAAGTTTCCAGCCCTTGGAGTTGGGGAGCTGGAGGTCTAAGGCAGTGACATTGATGCTGGCAGGAAGAGAGGATGAAGGCACCTGGGGGGATGGGATGCAGGAGAGCAGTTTATCCATTTGAAGATTGCAGCCTGTATTTACACTACAAAGCAAGGACTGGCACACTACCTTAGCTCTGTCCCCAAGATAGTAGGAAGGGGAGATTGGAACAGGAGCAAAGCAAAGCTTGCATTTCAAGGACATGTGTCAGTTGGGAGTGGACAGGAACCTTGGGGAAAAAACAGCTGAGATCTGGGGGAGTGGGGTGTCTGGCACTCATGCAGATAGGGCTGTGGGCAGAAGGGCTATGGGCAGAGGTGGCTGGGAGGCTTGCCCGGGTAGGGGTGGGTGTTGTAGGAATGAACGCATCAGCAGATGGAACCCTTGGTGATAGGGGCCATGTGTCCTCTTGTTTTCAAGGTACCAGCAGTACTTGTTGTCCTCGGCATTCTCCCCACCCCTATTCTCCAGGGCTGGCTTATGGAGTGGCTTTTAGGTTTTCTCTGAGGCCTATTGAGGGAGGGACTGGGGTCGGTGGTGTGTGTGGGGAGCTGGGGCTGAGGACTAGGCTCCTGCAGACAGCTGTTGGGGGATTAACCTGTGCTTCCCGCCTGTGTTGCATCCTCATGCTGACAGGGGCTGCTCAGCAGGCAGGCCGGGTAGGTGTGTGTGCGAGCGCACACATGTGTGCACGCCTTTGCGTGGCCCTCCTCTTGGTGGGGGAGCCTGTCTGAGCATGCTCTGTGGAGTTGGTGCGTGGCTCTGGCGTGTCCGGTGCTTCAGTGACCCGAGCTGCTGTGTGTGTGGCCTCCGTCCGCTCAGTTGTCCTGGCCTGTCTGTGACTGCTCTGGGTGGGAGTTGAGCTGAGCGGGAGGAGATGTGACATCGTAGGAGAGCCAGGCTAAGGCCACTCTATCTATCCCTCCCGCTACCTGCGTGATGCTGGGGTTGGGGCTGGCAGGGAGGGGAAGGAGGAACTTCAAGGGTTGAACCTAGGCATCTGGGAAACAAACTGGGCTCTAGGTCATCACTGGAAAAAGTGGCCTAGGAGGGTCCCTGGAGGGAGTGACCTTACTGGGTGTAAAGCAAGTGCTGGGGTTTCAGGTACGCTCCCCTGGGGCTCCAGGACCCCTGACTCTGAAGGAGGTGGAGGAGCTGGAGCAGCTGACCCAGCAGCTGATGCAGGACATGGAGCACCCTCAGAGGCAGAACGTAGCTGCCAGCGGTGAGCCTTGCTCCCTGCTGGGGTTGGGGGGGGGGGGGATGGTGTACTTCCCTCTCCATTTCTGAACTGTTTCCACTCCCTGACTGAGCCATCTGAAGTCGTGCAAGCCCTTCTTCCTTCTGCTCATCGCTGTCTTCTCTGGCCCTTAGAGACGTGTGGCCGCTGCCATCAGCCCCTGGCCCGTGCGCAGCCCGCGGTCCGTGCACTGGGCCACCTGTTTCACATCACCTGCTTTACCTGCCACGAGTGTGAGCAGCAACTCCAGGGACAGCAGTTCTACAGCCTGGAGGGGGCGCCTTACTGTGAGGGCTGCTACACTGTGAGTTGGGGTTTGGGGGCTGAGGCTGGTCCCTCAGGTGCGGGCTCCCTGCCAACCTGCCCCTGCCATCTCCTCAGAACACCCTGGAGAAGTGCAACACGTGCGGCCAGCCCATCACCGACCGCATGCTGAGGGCCACCGGCAAAGCCTACCACCCGCAGTGCTTCACCTGTGTGGTCTGTGCCTGCCCTCTGGAGGGCACCTCCTTCATCGTGGATCAGGCCAATCGGCCCCACTGCGTCCCCGACTACCACAAGTGAGCACCAACTAGGCTGTTCTCTGGGCTCTAGCCGGGCTGTGAGCCTCAACATGCATTCTGACCCTAGGTGCTGTCAGTAATTGGCAGGGAGCAGTTCATCTACATTTAGATGCTGTGATGCCAGGCCCAAGGGCAAGTTCTGGGACTGGCTGGTAGCACCCAGCCCCGCGACTCACCAAGGCCTGTATAGGTGTGTGCCTGGTGCTCTGCAGTGTGGGTACTGGAGTGACTGTCATACACACTGGCTGGGAAGTCAGATTTGGGTTGGAGATTGGCTTTCGCAGTGCTGGTTTCTCCCCTAGAGTTTACAATGTAGCTACTTCTCAGGCTTGCCAGCAAAATCCTATTGTGTAGCTTCATGAAGGGTAGAAAATGTGGGCTGTTAAGCTAGAACCATGCATCTGGGGTGGAGGGTGGGGGCACAGTTTCAGGCGTCTACCCAGTTGGCAAGGATCCCACATTCCTCTACATTGCACATTTGTTGGGGTTAAGGTGTAGGGCGTTGGAATATCCTGGGGGTGTGGGAGTACCTCCCGAATGCTTCCTACTGGATCTGTAGTGTACCTTGGATAATGGGGGCTTGGGACCCCGTTGGAGAAGTGTGTGGAGATGAGGCTTTGAGGAAAGCACCACAGGGCATCTCCTGCCCCTTCGTGGGAGCTGGTTATGGCTGTTGTGGGCCTTTATGAGCTGAGCCCACCTGGAGATGTGTAGCAAGGAGGGCTGCCTTGTTCCACAGCTGTCCTCATGGAGTGGGGAGCATGGGATGGGGGGAGACCTTGCTGTCACTGACTCTGCCTGCTGGGGTTGTGCTTTCCACCCTCCCAGGCAGTACGCCCCGAGGTGCTCCGTCTGCGGGGAGCCCATCATGCCTGAGCCTGGCCGTGATGAGACGGTGCGCGTGGTCGCCCTGGACAAGAACTTCCACATGAAGTGTTATAAGTGTGAGGTCAGCTCCTCCGTGTGGCGTGGACCAAGCAGAGGGGGAGGTGTCCTGTGCTCCTGTAGCAGGGGGACAGTGCCTTCTCATCCTTCCTTCTTTGCAGGACTGTGGGAAGCCCCTGTCCATTGAGGCAGATGACAACGGCTGCTTCCCCTTGGATGGCCACGTGCTTTGCCGCAAGTGCCACACTGCTAGAGCCCAGACCTGAGTGGGGCCTCCTTCCAGACCGCATGTCTATTCCCGTCATGGACCACCCACACTGAGATGAGACCAGCCTGCCTCGCCCACCTGTTACTGTTTTGATGCCCTGCCCTCTTCCATTCCAAACCCTGCCCCAGTATTCCAAGTGCCCTGTCCCAGGGCCCTAGCACAGCTTAGGGATGGCCAGCCCAGCCCTGGGTTCCAAGCCCTCACCCGCCCTGGCCGGGGTCACCTTGGGGAGGGAGTTAGGGAGGGAGGCGGGGCACCAGTTTATTGCTGCTGCTTTCACTGCTGCACCAACACCCCTTGGCTGGCCCCGAACAGCCTCTGTACTCTGCTTGCTGAGGCCGGGAGATGCTCTCACCCTCCAGGAGTCTGGGCATTCCTACCACCCCCTGTGCTGCCAGGTTGTGGCTGCAGCTGCAAATAAAACCCCTTATTTTCCAGAATTTTCTGGAGTCGACTTTTTGAGGGAAGGGAGGGGGTAAAGTGAAAACTCAATTTCTGTTTATTTACAAAAATATATATATGTATGTGTATATATATATATATATTAAACCCTCCCCCAGAGCCTGCCCACAACCACCTTTTTACTGCTATCCCCACCTCCCTTTTTAAAACAAAGGCTCCTGGGTTCCTCTGGAAGCGTGGGCAGGAGCAGCACCAATAGCCTACTTGTGTGTAGGTTGAGGGAAGGGGCTGGGGAGTGACCACGCCCCTGTCCTTCCTCCCTGAGGGGAGGGATGTGGGGGAAGGCTTGAGGTGCCCCCCCCCCCCCCCCCCGTAGCTCTCAGTCCTTGAATCCCTGAATACTGCAAAGAATGCGCTTCTGGTGCCCCGGCAGTGTGATTCCCATCTGTGTCAGGTCCCTGTGGACAGGGGAGGGCCTGTGAGTCTTGAGGTTCCAACCCCAGCTGCCCTCCCCGACCCCAGGCCACTCCAGCATCCTTACTCAGCTGTCAGCTCCAGTACACATTCCATGGTGTCCAGTCCGGCTGAGCGGAAGTGCAGGATGTAGCGTTTCATGCGGATGGACTCGAGCCACTCGGACACACTCCTGTAAGGGATCCCATCTGATCCGCTCAGGCTGGGCAGACGGAGAGTCATCCTGTGGGATATGGATTCCGTTGTCACAGCAGGCTGCAGCGGCTCTGCAGCCTGGGCGCAGCTAAGATTTGGTGGATTAGTCTGGCTATTGTCTGCATCTGCTTCTTGCCTCTGCAGCATGTCTCACTGCAGCAGGAGTCTGTCTCCAGTTGCAGTGCCTAGTTCTGGGCACCTGTCTGGGAGCATCCTGGCTGAGAGGCACTTGAATTAGAATGGAGCGCCAGCAGCCGGGTGTGGTTCTGCCATTTCCCAGGGTGGCCGCCTGGGTCCTGGGAGCAGCCCTTGCCTGGTACCCTCAACCTCCGCTGTTATTCTTGCACTCTGACACCCACAATACAATGAGTGTTCCTGTACTCAAGCCTGCCAGAGCCAAAAACCATTAGCAAAGTAAATCTGCTGGGGGAAAAAATATGCGGCATTCCAGAAAGATTAGCACACACGGTCTCCAGCGGACGAGGGAGTTGTGCTCCAAAAGATAGTTGCAAGTATTGGAACTCTGAGCACATTTTCTCCCAGAAACAAAGTTATATATGGTGGTTTGATACACAGGCTAATATGTCAGGCTAGTTTACCCAATAAAGCAGCCTGGCCTGTTTTCCCCATTTTCCCCACCTCCTACCAGTTAAGTCCTTGAATTCTGGCCATGCTTTGGTTAGTTTCCATTGTGCTCACATCCCTCCCAAGAATAGCCTTCAACAGTTGGGTGATGGCTCTCTATTCTCAGGACAAAGTCCTCCCTTCTCAGCTAGGCTGGTCTTCTTTGCACTGATCCTTGCTGCCCCCCAACTTCTTTGGCTTCCCTCCGCAAACCAGATGTTCCCATCCTGCATTTCTATACTGTCAGCTCCCAGCCCTCCTGTTGCCCCCAGACTAGCCATGTCCAGGCAGCTTTCCCAAAACACCAAGGTTTCCCCTCCCTTCCCCATTCCAACCTAATTGTCCAAGCTCCCTGGAACAGGCGGCAGATTGTAAGCACTACAGAACCTTCAAATTTAGTAAAGAGCTTGTATCCGAAGGTACTGCAAACTTTGTTGACTGAATGAGCTGTTTCTTAACATGTAGAAATGTTTCTATGGGGTGGGAGATGCATTCTGAAGTCCTGGACTGGGCCACAGAAATTCTTCAGAGAAGATATAGTGTAGTGCAAAAGGCAGAAGAATTCCAGGAAAGATCCCAGGCTAGGTAGCTGAGATGGGAGATGATGGGATGGAGACTAACCCAGATGGAGTGAGGGAATTTGGTGCCTGGTTGTGACTGCTTTCCTGCAAACATGGTATCCTAAAGATTCTCTATAAGCAGCAGCTTTCAAGACTCCAGGAGTGCTTGCCTCAGTTAGCTTCCTAGCCTCTCTCAGTCTGGAGCTCTGGATGGAGGGACTGCATTGCCACCATTGGGGTGGACTCTCCTTAGGACCCCATCATGCTCCTGCCTCAGTGCTGGGCTCAAGCCCAACACTTTGAATGCCCGTTTTCATTCTCCCAGATCTGCCCTCCAAATTCCCTTGTCGTTCTTCAGTGTGGTTACCTGGGATCAAAGTTAGCAATAGTGCGAAGGGAGTGAGGGTTGGCAAGTAGTTGCTCCAGGTGTGCCTGCAGCTGATGAAAGTGGGGCCGACGTGCACTGTCATACGCCCAGCAGTTTTTCATGAGTTCATACAGAAGAGCAGGGCAGTCCACGGGAGGTGGCAGTCGGTACCCATCCTCGATGCTCTTCATCACCTGCAGGGGAGAGAGGAAGAGCTTCCCAGGGTAGGGGGCTTGCTCACGGGCACAGGAGAAACCTGAGAGCCCACAAAGCACTACAGAGGTACATGTGGGCACCAGGGTTGGAACAGAACAGAGAATAGAGCACGTGGCAAAGGGAGGAGAAAAGACAGGAATGTAGACAGATTAAGGGTCAAGAAGAAGTAAAGATATTTGCAGGAAAAGGCCATGGCAGACTTTGGGAAATGAGAGGTCTAAGTTTGGATGATCCAGGGAAGACGGTCAGGCTCACCTCCTGGTTGCTCATCTCCCCGTACGGCTTGTCCCCGAAGCTCAGCACCTCCCACATCACAATCCCAAAGCTCCACACGTCACTGGCTGTGGTGAAGATTCGATGGGCAATGGCTTCAGGAGCTGTCCAACGAATAGGGATCTTCCCTCCCTAAGCAGGTACATGAGACAGAGCAGTGATGCTGTGGGGCATGGGTGAGCATTTGAAGGAGATGTGAGGTTGTGCCCCCCAGGAGCACAGAGCTGTGTATGCGTGCATGCACAACTGTATGAACAGCAGGCCACGGTGCGTGTGGCTATGTACACACTTCATACAGGGCTCTAACCTGGGTTTCGTAGATGCCATCAAAGTTGTCCAGGAGACGGGACAGGCCAAAGTCAGACACCTTGCAACACAGGTTCTGGCTCACCAAGATGTTCCTGGCAGCCAGGTCTCGGTGGACGTAATTGTGCTCACTGAGGTACTTCATGCCGGATGCTATGCCCAGCAGCATGTTCACCAGCGGCCCAGGAGCCAGCTGGCCCTCTCGCTCCTGCAGCAGAATCAGCAGGTGAGTCAGAAATGGGAGGGTGGGTCTCCATGACCCCCTCCCTGCTGGTCCTCTGTTCACTCACCCTCAGAAAGGCATCCAGGGCTCCATGCTCCATAAACTCCGTGATGATCATGATGGGTTTTCCTGAGACACAAAGCACACCCCGTCATGCACAGCACGCCCTCTCTCTGCTGCTGCTAGCCCCACCTCTGCCTTCCCACCCGGTTGCCCCCAGCTGGTGGGGAGATCATACTCTTTGTGACAACGCCTTCCAGATGCAGAACGTGAGGGTGGTTGAATTGGCCCATGATGGTTGCCTCTCGAAAGAAGTTCCACCAGTGGCCATCAGGAGAGGTTTCTTTCAGGATCTTAATGGCCACTGTCTTGCAGTCCTGGCTGGGGAGCCGCAGGGTCCCTCGATACACTTCAGCAAATTCTCCTGGGAAGAAAGAAAATAGGTACAGGGCCTAATGCACCACACAATGATTCCTGTTGGTCCTGTAGCCCCCTTTTGTTCTCTGGAGACCCAGAGTGTGGGCTAGCCTCCTGGGATAGGGCTTGGGAGAAGGGATGGCATAGTGAACCTGCAGTGAAACTGTAATTTGGTCATTCCCACTTGGCATAGTCCATGATTAACTTATTTTTATTGGAAAGACAGATTTATAGAGAGAAGGGGAGGCATAAAGATCTTCCATCCGCTGGTTCACTTCTCAAATGACTGCAGTGGCCAGAGTTGAGCTGATCTGAAGCCAAAGACCCCTCCAGGTCTCCCATGTGAATGCAGGGTCCCAGGCTTTAGGCCAATAGTCTCCCCCTGTTCTCCCAGGCCATAAACAGGGAGCTGGATGGGAAGTGGAGCAGCTGGACATGAACCAGCACCCACATGGGATGCTGGAGTCATTGTGCTGGCCCCTACCATCCAAAATTTATAGTTGGGTGTGTGGTAGTGCTTTGTGGTTTGTCCCTAAGCACTGTGGCTGAGCTGTCTATGAAGGGCAGCAGACCAGCACTAGTGCCTAAGTGAACAGGAGGCAAGGCTGACTCTCACTGCCTCCCTTCCGGGAGCTCCTCCAGCCACAGCTCAGCTGGCTTAGCCCACAACCGGCAAAGACACTGCTGAGCTTTGTTCTCTGCTCAGATTCACTTCCTCCGGTGACCCAAGGGATCAGGGCAGCCCAAGGACACTGGGCCCCTAATGGGATAGAATGCTGGGCAAGGGACACCAGGGCGGGTCTCTCCCACATTGGGGAGCCATCTAAAAGGAATTGGAAGCCTAGTGTGGCAACAGCTCTGTGAACAAGGACAATCAACTGAATGTTCTGTCAGAAGCCAAGTACGCGGAAGGCAGGGGCTGTTCTGGGGGGGTTGATGAGAGGGTTTAACACGAACACAGCAGTTCCAAGGCATACAGGGCAGAGTCCAGGGAACTCTGGGCTATCCAGGAGGGGCCGTGGTAGCTCAGTGCTGACACACAGAGGGGACCAGCTATGGTGCACAGCAAGACTCACCTTCCCCTATGACAGTTTCCACAATCAGCCAGGATGGGTCCAGCTCCTGGGTGAAATCCAGGGCCCCTTGGGCAGGATCCTCGTAGGCCTGCAGGTCCACATAGGGCTTCAGCCACAGCTTGTCCTCTGGGGGGGGGGCGGCAAGGAGGGCTCAGGGGCAGAGGCCCAACTTCAGGTTTTAGAAGTACTGAGTCTGGGGGTGGGGTATGTGGCAGGGGGCCAGTGGCAGAGGAGTCCCCTGAGGTGACTCCTGTTTGCCTGAAACAGCAAGTCTCTATCCTCAGCTCCTAGGCCTCCCAGCCTGGACCTTTCCTCTTCTGATCTGTGCTCCAAGCTGCCTGTCCTCATTCCCCAAGGGCCAGAGCAGGTCAGAGCCCAAATCCAAAGGGCATATCCACTGTCTCGAGTTACCCAATCTTCCCGCACTCACAGCCCTGCTTCCAGCCCCTCGTCTCCCTCCTCCCTGGTCCCCGTGCTTCTCCAGTCACTCACACCTCATTTCCTTGGAGGGACCACTGAATTCCCCTTTTGGCAAGACACCTAATGAGGTGACAAGTAGGAAGCCCACATGCCTGGTGGACTTCAAATCCCTGCTGACCAACCTCAGGGTGCCCATGCGGTGGGCAGCAGTGACAGCTCCTAACAGGTAGCTGCAGCAGAGTCACTGCTATCAGTAGAGTTAATTAACCAAAGTTAATTAGGTGGCAAAACACAAAGACCCCCGGGACAAAAACCCTGTACAGGTCCACACAATTAGCCTAGCAAACAGGAGCCACTTCTCAGTGGCACCTTCCGATACTCCCACATGTCCCCAAATGGACACATGTACATCCACACACAGAGTGGCTCACCTCGATCCACATCCGTGACACGGTCACGCTGTCGCTGTTGCCGCTGCCGCTGAGCCCTCCTGGGAAAGTTGGAAGCCAATTTCATCAGGGTCCCAAGACCACTACAGGGGCCCAACAGGCTCTGGTAGAATTTCCCCCAGAAATAAGGGCTGGCTATGAGCTTCAGCACCAGGGGATGGGAGGGTTGTCAGAGCTACCATCAGGGCTTCTGATGGGGCAGAGACCTGGGACAGGCGTAAGGGGAAGGGGCGAGCATCAGTACCTTGAACGGAATGCGAGAATTCCAAGCAACAGAGCCACACCAAGCAGCAGCCCAAAGATAATGGCTACAATCTCTCCTCCAGTCAGGCCCCTGGAAACTGTCAGAAAATGGAATGAGAAAGTATGGGGAGCTCACAGCCCCCAGGGATGATGGGGGTCTTAAGAGCTGTGTCCTTGGCCTCTCATCAGGTGCTGGGTTTGGCCCTGCCCCCAAATCTGACAAGGGGGCGCGTGAGTTTGTGTGCAAAGAGGCAGGATCAGTAATTCTACTGGAAGCCAAAAGGACAGGTGTGAAAGTATATGGGACAGAACATGAGGTACCCCACCTGGAGGGCTGGTCCGAAACTCATGGTCAGGTGAGAAAGGGCCGGGGCCCAGCGGGGTCAGCATCCGGACCCTGACGATGTATGTGGTGTCCGGCTGCAGTTCTGTCAGCAGGACCCTGGGTTCCAGAACCATCTGGTGCCGTTCTTCATCCTGTGGGTAGAACTTGGATTTACTTGGTTGTGCCCAGCCTGGACCTGGGTAGAGGTGATAGACATTTGTGTGTGCACGTGGGAAGGGTTTGTCCAGGAGAATGCTAAGGACAGGACTTTTGACCTGGAAAAGCCACAGAGTAGGCTAGGGCTCTGGTCCCCCGCCCAGATGGCACCCCATGCTGGGAATTCTGGGAAGCGCTTTGGGGGCTCTGGGCAGCATCTGACCTGGTTCAGCACATGCAGCTCGTAGGTCAGGTTTCCTCCGGGATGACGAGGCCGGGATCCCGCCCAGGTCAGCTCCAGCTGCCGGGGTTCTTTCTTCACCAGCCTCAAAGACAGGCCTGAAAGCGACTCTGGGAGTCCCATGGGGAGACAGTTGAATTTGGAAGGAAAAAGGAAATCAGTCCTTCATATACTTCCTGCCCAGCAGCTGGGGCCCACGATCCTGGCTCCCCTGTTTCTCTGTTTCAGGTTCCTTACCTGCATGTCCCATGCTGATGCTCAGAGAGCTGCTGGCATGACCCGAGCTCCCCAGCCCTGACACTCCGTTCTGGGCTTCAACGCTAAAGGTGTAGTTAGCGTAGGGTTCAAGACCTTCGACATGCACGCCAAGCACAGCGAGCTCCCTGCTCCCTGGGGAGAAGCGTACGCTGGCCCCACAGGGCTGGCAGGGCCCCTCATCCTGCACTGAGCCCTGACATTGAGAGCACCGTACGCTGTATCTGACATCTTGGCGTCCCCCTGTATCCTCAGGGGGTTCCCATCGCAGGGAGAGCTGGCTCCCCGATGCAGAGAAGCTCAGGTTTTGGGGTGCTGAGGGTGGACCTGTGGAGGAAGGGGAGGCATGACGGTTGTAGCTCCTTTCTCACCCTAGCTGAGGAGCCCTGCTTTTGCCTACCACCCCAACTTTTTAAAAAATAAGATTTGTATGTTTTTACTGGAAAGTCAGATATACAAAGAGAAGGAGAGACAGAAATGAAGATTTTCCATCTGCTGATTCACTCCCTAAGTGGCCACAATGGCTAGAACTGAGCTAATCCGAAGCCAGGAGCCAGGAGCTTCTTCTGGGTCTCCCACGTCGATGCTGGGTGCCAAGACTTTGAGCTGTCCTCTACTGCTTTACCAGGCCACAAGCAGGGAGCTGGATGGGAAAGTGGGACCACTGGGACAGGAACCAGTGCCCATATGGAATCCCAGCGTGTACAAGAGGAGGACTTTAGCCACCAGGCTATCACTCTGAGCCCGACTCCAATTTTCAAAGCCCTTGTGGGGAGACCTGGCTCCTACTGAGCATAAAGGAACATAGACACACCACGTTCTCCCAGGGGCAGCAGGGGACCAGGCAAGGGTCTACAAGTGCCTGACCACTCTGAATAATCCCCAATATCTGATAAGCTCTGGAAAAACCTGATCCTAATACAGACTCAGCAGTGGCCCAGCATCTCCTGGGTAGCCCAGCCCTGTGCCCACTCACGTGTGCACGCCTCCTGGGGGCCCTCCCCAGGGGCTCTGTAATGGCCACTGTCACAGGTGCAGATGGTGGCTCCCTCAGAGGCGGCTGTGCTATGCTGGGGACACTGGAGACAATAGGGTGTGCTCATGTCCACCCGGTAGGAGTCACTAGGACAGGCTGAGAGAGAAGGTAGCAGGGTCAGGATTGTCTGTTTTCACAGGCAGCACCCGGAAACACCACCACCAGGGGGTCCCCCTTCTTCCCCACTATTCTGCACTCTCAGGTGCTCAGGGGAAACTGAGATGGAGTCTGGGCTTCCTTCCACCCCAGGTGGTCCCCCAGAGCTCCTGCCAGCTTGTTTCTTACCAGTGCATGTGGTGCCTCCACCGCCTTCCACGTATCCAGGCTCGCAGTGGCACCGACCGACAGGTACCAACCACTCACCATCCGGGCTGCAGTGCATACGGGGTGCGCCCAAGGGCCCGGGGCTGGCCTGCGCATGGGGCAAGCAGGTCCCTGACACTTCCACCAAGCCGACAGGTCCTGGGAGAGTGTCAGGGAATTGGGCTAAGTTGTACACAGCCTCAGGACAGCGCTGGTAGAACACACGTACAGACACCAGGGCCACACAGGCTCCTGGGTTGTGGAAGGCAAGATAGAGGCCACGCTGAGTCAGGTGGCCCAGGGAGCAGCGCTCCACATTCAGCTTCATGGAGCCAGATGCAAGGTCACGGATGGTGAAACTCTGATCTGCAGCCACTGTGGTTACCTGGCAAGAGGGAAGGGTGACAGTGAGTGGAGGGGAGGGAGAGCAGAGTCCTGCTTCAATTCTGCCTGACAACAGCTTTCGTAATAAAGGCCGAGCATCTCTAATCTGAAAATCCCAAATCTGAAATGTTCCCTAATTCACAACTTCTTAAGTGCTGCTGGGACATGTCACATCTGACCTCATGTGACAGGCTGCAGACAGAATTTAGGCACACCAAAAGGAATGTAGGCATTTATCACCTTCATGAATTTCTTGATTGACCTTGGGTTCTATTCCCAAGATATGCCATTCTGAATATGAAGATATTAAAAATATCTCTGAAATTCAAATGCACACATGGTCCCGAGCATTTCAGATAAAACATACTGAACCTGTGCATTACGGCTTGATTGTGTGAGGTACCAGGCTTGACATTTTAGATGCAGCACAGCCTGTACTCCATGCAATACCTCTACTAGGTGGATGACTTAGCTGAAGCGCTTGAACCCTTGTATGAGACCACAGAGCTCCTCCGTGACGGGACTAGGATTGGAACCCAAGCAATGGGACTCCACACTCCGTAACATTTCCACAATTTCGAGGGCACCAGTCATCGTAACTAGTGATGTTATCAGCTGCAGGCTGTCATCATTAATTACTAGTAACAAATCTTACAACATTTTCTTATTGGAAAGAAAGGAGAGCATGTCTTATACAATTTTGCATTCTTGCATGCTTTTCTCAGTAGCAAAGAAAGGGACAGTATTAGAGAGACATTGCTTACAGAATGGTCTTACTTCATAACTCCCTGCTGTGCTCATAGGCATGGGTGCTGAGTGATAAGTCTGACTACCTCTGCATGGCACATCCTTCTTCCATCACCTCTACCATGGCATCTTGTTATCTCAATGGGTGCCTGTAGAAGGCTCCAGAATAGAAAAGGTTGGCTCAAGTGTCACTATTTTATAGCAAGGACACCAGAACTTAGAGAGAGATTAACTTCCAAAGTCAGGGTATAGAGGAAAAGGGATTCAATTCCAGGGCACAGTTCTGGGGACAAGCTCCACGGTACTCTCTCCCTGTCTCTGCCAGTTCCCTTTATTTTCTTGGCTGAGAGCTGTCCCAGTAAGGAACCAGTCAAGGATCGGTATCTGGACTGAGGTGGCAATGGCGCAGTAGCAACACCTTTCGGAACATGGCCCGTCGGAGTTGGATGCCCACGTCCTGGTCACTCTCCATGAACAGGAGGTTGAAGGTCTCCTTGCAGCCCAGAGGGGCAGCACCCCTGGGGAAGCTCTTGCAGTCCCGCACGGTGAACTGCAGCTCCACATGGACCCGCGAAGCCTCCTCTCCTCGGTAGATCCAATTGGAGCGAAGCCAGTGGTCAGTGTCCCCGCCTTCCTGCACTGGACAGTCCTGGTACATGTACAGGGGTGTCCCGTTCAACATCTGCTGCACCTCACTCCACTGTGGGAAGAGAACTGAGAGTCAGCCATCAGGTCTACACCTGTTTCCCCAACCCGGGCATATTAGATTCAAAGGAAGCAAACTGGTGTTAGAGCTCCAAGTTCATGCTACTTGTTCTGCCTCTCCCCGCGCTTTGATCCCAGGATAGTGAGTAAGTGTTTATGGTTAGGGATTTATTTTGCTATAGGATGAACAAGACAATAGCCCCTTAATACCACTAGCCAATCCTGGGCCCTTCAGTTAGCTATGCACCAACTTTTACCTATTTCATCTGCAGAGCTGTCAGGTACCCAAAGGCAAAGCTCATTCACAAAACCTTTCTGCCTATTCCTCCAAAGAAGAGAAAACTTATCTTGAAATATTACAATCTGTAAGCTTCTGAAGGGTAAAAGCAAACACAGAAAACTCTTTGTATAGAGGAATCCCATCCTCCCCAATACGCCTTCCAGTTATGGCTTTTAAAAAAATCAACTGACAGCTGGCATTGTGGTGCAGTAGGTTAAACTGGTTTCCACATCAGTATCCTAGTTTGGAGTGTGAGTTCAAGCTCCAGCTGCTTTACTTCCCCTGTTCTTCCTGTTAATGAGCCTGTGAAGGCAGCAGAGAATTGCCCAAGAACTTGAAGCGCTTGCCATCCATGTGGAAGACTAGGACGGAGTTGGAGTTCCTGGATCCTGGCTTTGGCCTGGTCCAGACCTGGCTATTGTTGTCATTTGGGAAATGAACCTGTGTGTGGAAGATTCTATCCTTGCCTAAATAAATTAATACATTGGTGGAGTGGTTGGGTGGCTAGACACTAGTCTGGTCCTTTTTTTATCTTCTTTTGTATTAGAAGAATTCTTACACGTGGTATTAACAGTGGCTAACACTTACCCTGGCCAGTCTTCGTTCTAAGCACTTTCCATGGGGGAAACCAAGGCACAGTGCCATATAGCGACTTGTCAACAGACAGCTCTGAAGTGGCAGAGCTGTGAGACTGAAGCCCAGGTATTGCAGGCTCTGGAGTTGGGGTTCTTTAACAATACAGAGCTCAAGATACAGACTTAACATTTAAGTTTCTCCAACCTTCCGACCTCATTCCCAGAGGCAATCACATTTAACAAATTGGAGTAAAACTTCCCAGAACATTTTTAACGCCTCCAGAAAAATGCCTGAAAATGTTCTATTTTGTTTTTAATATAAATGAGATCACACAAGTGCTATTGTGTAACTCACTTTCTGTTATAACAAACAAATAAGTCTTTGAAGCTATCCACTAGGGTGCATTATACATCTGTCTCTCTTTTAGCAATTTATAAATGGCTTCCATTCCTTAGACATAGTCAATTTAATTTCCACCTGTTTTTGGACATTTAGTAGGGTTTTTTTTTTAATAAAGCATGTACAGTTTAATGAAAGACATCTAGATTTCTAGAATTGTTGTATTAAAAGCAGACATGCTACAAATTTTATGACACTAGTAAATTGTCCTCTGAGCAGTTTATACTTTCACTTACAATGCAAGAGTGCTCATTTTCTCCAGATCAGATCAATATCAGATGTTAGTGTATTTTTTCCAGTTCTATATTTTCTCCTAATATTTCTGTAACTTTGGTTTTTAAACTTTGGTTTCCCTAGAATTTGTTGTCTTGTGTACAATGGGAAGTGTGGAAATGTTTTAACCTTCTTTTTTCCCTTAAGTTCCTAGACTGCCAACGGTCAGTTTACTGACTGGTTAATTCTGTTGGAGATTGGGACGCAGCATCCCTCAGATACCTGGCCTATTTCAAGTTGGCTATTCTAAAAAACTACAGACCCCTGATGGCTTGACAAAGTCCTTTGTGTAAGAGATTTACCTCTCCAATGGAGATCTAAGTCAGTAAATTGTGTGTATGAGGGGAAAGGCTGCTTCCAGAAACACCGATGCCCTGAGACCTTTCATCAGATTCGCCGGCGCTCACACGGCACAAGGTGGTTTACACTGGGAGCCCCAGGTCCAGGCCCCTGCTTCTCTCAGCATGCGATACAAGCTCAATCCATTGATCCTTCTTTAACTACCATTTTTGCGGGACTCCCGTGTTTGTTGTTAAATAAAATAATTTTTTCTTTTTCCCTTAGGGCTGGCCTCTTGGTTAAGATGGCACCAGCTGCCACACGGGCATCCCACATGAGCACCAGTTAGAGTTCTGGTGTTGATTATTCCTAACTGGCTCTCTGATAATGTGCCCGGGGAAGCAAGGTACTTTGGCCTCTACCGTGCATATGGGAGACCTGATGGAGTCCCAGGCTCTTGGCTTCAGTGCTTACTGGGGAGTAAGCCAGTGGATAAAAAGTCTCTCAGTTTCTCTCCCTCTTGCCATAACTCTGCCTTTCAAATGAATATGCTTTCTCTATTAATTTGCAATTCCAATGTCATTCATATATGTGTGTTAGGGTTTTAGACTTTCTGTACTTTTCCATTAACCTGAGAATTCTTGTGCAATGCTACATGTATTAATTATAGTTGCTACTCTCCTCTCTGTGGTAGGACAAGTTTCTCATTTCATTGTTCCAAAAGCATTCTCAACTATCTTCTTTGCCTGGTGAACTTAAGAAAGATGCTCTCAAATTCCATACACATTCCATTTTGGTTGCAACCTATAATTGAATAGAGAATGAGGCTCCTGGCAAGTTCACTTGCCTAGAGTTTTTACTTCAATAGAATGAATGGGCTCTCGACCCTACTCTTAGATCTGGGAAAAGTAAGAGAAAAGCACCATTAACTAAGACGTTTGGATGGGATGGGATAGAAACAGATGCTGCAGTGAAGCAGAGATTTCTGCATTTGGCAGGGAGGTTTCAACATCAGGCAGTGTCTGAAAGGCAATGAAAAGGCACTGGGAGGAAGCTGTGTTGTGAAGCCCAGTGGACGGCCAGGTGGACAGGGTAGTGGGTGGTTAATGTGCAGTACATTTACCCCAGTGCCACAGCTGAAGCTGGAGCCTGGAGAAGCAGATTTTACCCAGCTCTAGCAGTTGTAGCAGCTCCAGGAGTGACAGACTGGAGAACTAGCTGCCCAGGATCAGCACTTGGGCTCCTTCCACCTCCCAGACCCATTGGCTTCTACTGGGGTGCAATCTGGGCGGGAGGGGCGCTTGGCCCAGAATGCCTGATGTGTGTGCTTTGAAATGATGGGATTGAGAGGGGCTCCTGGAGAGGGTGGGAGCATGTGGTTGCTGGGTGTTCTTGCTACCGTCCCAGCACAAGGCTCTTTCATCTTGGCCGAAAAGAGGGACTTACTTAGCCCAATCAGGGCTGGGGTGACAGTCCATGGAGCCAGCAGATGGACCTGCAGCCATCGCGGTAGGGTGATTAGCTGGTTTATGAGACGAAGAGCCTATTAGGACTGTTCTAATCCAGGATTCTCCAAACAGCCCCTCCTGGAGGACACATTATGGTTTAGTCTATTAACTCTGTAATTATAGGCCACTCTGTGGGAAAGTGCAGCCAGGAACCTAGGACCCAAAAGGGAAAGAAGCAGTAATTCCCACCCCAGAGCCAGGGGCTGAAGTGAATAAGGACTGGATTGTGGAAGCAACACCCAGAGAACAGAGTCCAGGACCCTGGCCTCCAAGGCTGCCTCCTGCGACTGAGCCAGTGCTGCTGGGTGGCAGCAGGTGCCCTCTGGACTTCCCACAAGTGACCTAGGCTCCCTGGGTCTTGGGAATACTCAAAGCATCAGATAGGACACGGAGCACGCTCCTCCAGTTCCTCCGCCACCTGGCATGCATGGTGCGCCATGGAGCCTGCCTGGGCTGGACTGGAGAAGCCGCCAAGGGCTGAGGCCGCAGTATTTTAACTGTGGGGAGGGAAAGACCCTTTGGGATTGGACAGGCAGTTTTGCTCTCCTCTCTGAAAGTAACACACTTTTCCTGACCCTGGGAAAACCTGACTGTGCAGCTCCATCATGAAGCGTTGGTACCTCTGTCCCTCTGTAAATGCCTTCAATTTGTTTCAACCTCAACCATCCCCAGCTTGGGGCCTTCTTACCCAGGGCTGTAGGCTCACCCCTCAGCCTGCTCCGGCTCCGGGGTCCTCACATGTATTTCCTCTCTGAGGAGTAGGGCTATTGAGACGTTCCCTGTGGGGTGAAGTCTGACCACCCCCTTCCCTCCCTCCCTGCCGCCCCCCCCCAAGTCCCATTCAGGAGCCTCTGAGTCAGCCTCCCGCCCCCCTCCTAGAGAGACACTTCCAGTTTTTCCTGCTCTTTTCTCATTTCCTCCACCCACCTCTCCGCCCCATTTCCCACTGGCCTGCAGCCTCAAGCCCTGCCAAGATCTTTCCCTCCTGACACTTACCCCGTCCTCTGGGGGATCCAGCAGCCAGCCCAGTTCTCCCTGTGCCTTGCTTGTGTCCATCAGAGTGACTGAAGGTGGTGAGAAAAGGAGCCTGTCACCTCTGTAGGGGAGGTGCTCCGCACAACCCCGCAGTCCTCTGGCCTCAACGGCCTCTTTCTAACAGTTGTGACTTGAGGCTCCGGGAAGGGAGAGGGCCCAGGGACAAGGGAGTGGAGAGCCCAGGGGGATTACAGGGTCTCCCTTCAGAGGGAGGAGGGGCAAAGACAGGGTGGGACAAGTTGGAGTGCCCTCGATCTCTCTGGCAAAAGTGGATGGCATCCCCTGTCACCTGGCTGGTGCAGCCAGGGGCGCCCATATGCCGCAGAACTGAATAGGTGGATGGGAGCCGGGTGCTCAGCTTATGAGAAGGGAAGGGGGTGCCTGTACGGCCACTACCACAGGCCTGCTGGGGCCTGTAGCTGGAGGTATGAAGAAGGGGTGCAAGGCACAGCTCTAGGGAAGTAGAGGGGCAGGGAAGGAGACGCTACACCCAGGAACCCCTGCAGCTCGGGCCGACCCTTCACCCCAAGGCAGGTGGATTGCACGCCGGGCCTAGGTTGGCCTAAGGCGACTTTTCAGGGTGGCATGAGGGATGGGATGCCAGGCTTGGGTACCCAAGTCTGGGACTGTCGGGAATGAAGGGTCCCGGGAGGGCTGCGGTTGGCTTAGGGGACACGGCTTCCACTCCCCACCCCCTAGACACCGGCTGCTGGCCCACAGGCGTGGGGTGACTGACCCGGGACTACAGAGGTTTAGGGTAAAAGACCAAAGTTTGGCCAGATCGGTCGATAGCCGTGCGTCCGGGGCAAATCACGGGGCTGGAGAGGGACGCGGAGTGGAGGCCCTCTTCAGGAACGCAGGTTCCTTCGGTGGGGAGCGGGCCGGGCCTAGGGGCAGGTGGGAGCGGCGAGGGCAGGGGTCAGTACCTTCCTTGGCGCGCGCCCCCGGGGGCAGCGGCGCGCAGAGCAGCAGCAGCAGCAGCGCCGGCGGCAGCCCGAGCCCCAGGGACCAGCGCCGCTCCATGGCGCCGGGCCGGGACCTGGGACCGCGGCCCGGACGGCAGTGCCAGGTCCCAAGGGACTGGGGTGAGCCGGGCAGGCCGGGCGGAGGCGGGGTCCGTGCCCGGGGCGGAGTCCCGGCCTCACCTGGCTCACCTTCTTAAAGGAACAGTGAGGCAGGAAGGAAACTTGTTAGACAGGTAATAAACTTCAAAAACTGGAGGCGTCTTGACCGGAACGAGGCCGCGGGCGCCGCCTCGTGGGTGGGACTAAGAACTGACTTACCCTTCCCTCATCTAAACCTAACCCTGTCTTGATCTAGTTACCTAATTCTGTTTTTTATTTGAACCACACTCGGCGAATCTTTCCTTGCCCCCTCCCTTTGTCCGCGTCTCAGACCTGTAATAGAGACTAGGGGAGGCGGGGTGAGAGACACGTCTTTATTCTGTACTACCTGTGGCTTCCGTAGCCACAAGGCAAGCCAGGTGCACAGCTCCTAGTGAAGCAGCTGGGAAGTTAGGAACAAGCTAGCCAGTCAAGCATGTTAGGTGTCCTCGGGGAGAAAATGGAATGACCCGGGCTTTCGGCTACCGAGATTGAGAAAGGCTTGGAGGAGCGCCGGAGGACAAGGAGCCTCAAGGTGCGCTCAGGGAGTGGCCCGGGGACCAGTTTGACAGCTGGGCTCAGGGCTTGTCTTGGGAGCCAGGGCAGAAAGACAGGTGTGTGCCGGCTGGAGCAGGGAAGGTCTTGGTAAACAAGTGAGGGAGTGTGAACCTTGCGGTGCACTGGCAGAGCAGGCCTGCGGAGCTGGTGGCAGCCCTGGGTACTGGTGGCAGAGAAGGAGAGTGGGGCCTCCAGGGCCAGCCCAGGGCTGGCTGGCCTTTGGGAGACTGTCTTACATTCTATTGCATGAGTGTGTTCACTTTCTACTGAGCGTGCATTCAACTCTGACAGTGCCAGGAACACAAGGGCAGCCCAGCCCTAAGCAAGCTGCGGATCTGTGGAGGGCAGAGAACCAGGGCACAGCCCAGGAACACTCGGGGAGGGCTAAAATGGCAGATAGGGGTAGACTCCGTTGGGAGAAGGACTCGGGACCTGGGTGGTTGAAAGGCGAACCATGCTGCCAAAGCCCAGGTTCAAGGCCCCACTTCTGGGCCCCTCCTTCCTGGGCCCCTCCCTGGCTCCATCTCATTTGAGTGACTCACTCATAGTTTTTCTAACATTTAAATTGCTGCATGTTTTGGTCATTGTGAAGGAAGGGAGGCGGTGAATTATAGGTGCTTATTTCATTTTCAAATATGAATGCATCTTGGGTTTTTTTCCTGGTACAGATAAGACTAATATGGCTCATAATGTCTTGGCCCAGACTATTGTTAGTGGCATAAATACAGGAATACAATGCATGTGGATTGGTGGGAAACTTCATGGTGAACAGGAATATGAAAGGTTAAAATCTTCCACTCTTGCCATCCTCCACCATCTGTCCCCTAGCTCAGCCACTGTCAACTCTTTCTTGTGATTCTTCCCCAGCAAGTGCACACTGTCGCATATTCCCCCAACCCCTACCCTCCCTCTACTCCCACACATGTGTTTTTACATTGTGGATGCAGAGGCGGCCAAGGAATGTACACTGCTCCGCACCAGAGCCTGTAAATCTAATTCCAAGGCCACTGGTGGAGAGGTAGGGGTGTGTGGGGGGTTCTGTAGGGCCAGGGCTTTGTGATTTCAGCAGGGACGAAGGGGAAAAGGGTGCAAAGCCAGCAGAAGGGGGGAGATGGAGTAAGCTTTGGACAATTGTTGCTAGGAAATAAACCAGCCGTGGTGAGGTCATGCATGTGCTGGTTGCTGTAGTTTGTTATAAGACCCTTGAGACACAAGGGGATTGGGGCGGAGAATTGCTCCACACAGTGAGAAGTGGAGACTGGAGGCCTGGAAGGGAGCCTGCTTTTGTTTTAGGAGAGATTCTCTAGCCTTGGAAGGCTTGCACACAGGGAGTGCATGCCCTCCCACCCCCGCTCCGAGTGATGGAGATCGCACGTTTTTCTGTTCTGCTTCCCGAGAGAGGGCTCGTGTTTTCAGCTCTGGGCTGTGTTCCTTACCGGCTGCACAACTTTTGTCTCGTGATTTCTACTCTCTGGACTTCAGTCTCCACAGCTCATCTGGGCTGAGGGAAAGAGCGCAAGTTCTGAAATAGATTTTTAGTCCCTCAGCTGTTTGTGCCTTGTTTTGTTTTGTTTACCTGTAAGTGGGATTCATCATGCCTGCGTCCTGGAGTGGGCACAATGCCCAAAAGAAGAGAAAGTGCCTCATTAACTGCCCAAACTGAGCAAACATGAATTTTCTAGAAGGATGGTGGAGCGTAGATGTGCTGAAGTTCTTCTGTGAGTCTTTTTAACTTGCTCCAGAGGACAACAGCCTCTCTGGCCAAGACTTATTTTTTCCCCCTTTTAGCAATAACTTTATTGAGGGCTAACATACATAAAACAAATTGTACCTGTTCCAAGTGTTCAGTTCAGTGGACTCTGAAGAATGCAAACGCCCTAGTAACTGCCACCTCAGTCAGGCACGGAACGCTTTCATCAATGAGAATATTCCCTTGTGCCCTTTTGACTCAATCCCAGACCTTCCGTCAGCATTTGTAAGTGCCCTTTGTAGCGTTGCATGTAGACTCTGGGATCGACTTCCCACCTCAGCGTGATGCTCTCAGAATCGGTGTGTATTGCTGCACGCATCAGCAGTGTGCTGCTTCTCCCTGCTGAGTGGTATTCCCTGAGTGTAGGTCCCACGGAAAAGATTACTTAGTCATGCAACATCCAAACTGAAGATTTCTCTCCAGTCTGCTAGGAATCAAAGCCCTCTTAACAGATGTAGCCGCCAGGACGGAGACTTCTCCTTTCTCTTATTTGGAGAAAAGTTACTGACTCCATTTTGCATTGGCAACTTCCTGAACCTGTGCCTGGTCTTGTAGCCTTGACCTTAGCTTACCCTGTTTATATGGCCCCACCCCATCTCCTGCCGCTCCTTTCTCTCCTGAGAAAAGATGAAATTATACCCAGCTTAGGTCAAGGGCTTGTATAGGTATAGGTTCTGGTTAGAACTCCACTGACATGCCTGAGGATTTACCTGGAGAGCTGGTAGCAACCACTACGCTCATATTGGTACAAAGTTATTCAACAGACTAGTGTGAGGTCTACCACCAGGGCTGCAGGACATGGGACCAGGAATTTGGCTGCTTGGCTGCAAGGGGCAGGGACTGGCCCACACTTGCAGGCAGCACGGTTCAGCAGAGCGTGTGGGCAGTGGGAAGGCAAGGCAGCGCTGCAGCACAGCAGCGTTCTGTGCGTTGTGCATGGCTTTGATCCCGTTCCTCCTTTGGTCTTCCTCTTTTGCTTCTGGCCGGCACTCTTACCTATCTGTTCTCTGATCCGGGTTTACTATCAGGCACTAGGGCGGGGATAATAATAGTTAGCATTTATGACAGCACCTACGCATGCTGCCGGGCACTTCACATACATTATTTCATTTACTTCTCACACCAACCCTTTGAGGAAGGTATTATTAGTCCCACTTTATAGATGGAAAAATCTGAAACTCCACAGGGAGTTTAAATTTCTTGTTCCAAGTCCTTCAGTTGCAGAAACAAGATTTGAATCCAATTCTGTCTGACTCCTGGATCTGTGACCCTAGCTCCTGGAAGAGTTTTCAGGGGGTTTTCCCTTCTGTTTGAACTGCTCCCTACTCTGCCCCCGCTGAGGTCCAGGTACCCTCACCTAAAGCACCGGGGTTAGGTTGGCCTGTTGGTGCACCTTGCAAAAGGAACTCATGTGGAATGTAATCCTTGTTGTCTGAGTTCTTTCTTTGCCAAGGCATCTGTGAGATTAACTCACACAGTTGTGTGTTGATTCATTCTCGAGGCGGTATGATTCATCCCCATTCATTGTACGAAGATCACCTTGTTTTTGAAGATCTCTTGGTCTGTGGTTAAGTGTTCTACACTGGAATTGTTATAATTGGGTGACTCCCTTGGTTTATCTGGCTTGTCCTTGTGGGTTGGAAACAGGCTTAATCCTCCCAGAAAGAATCTTTTGATAGTCCAGATGACTCTTCCACTCGAGAGGCAATCTGTGAGCAGGGTCATGGACACCAGTCACACTTCCTGATCCCAGTCCTCCACATCCCCATGTCACTCCCTTCTTACATGTCATTTCGCCAAGAAGACATCAGACATGATCTAATAGATGATTCCTTATGTTAGATAGAGGCAGTTTGACATTTCTCTGAGATGTCAAAAGCAAAATTAGCTACGGTAAGATGTGCCATATTCACTTAAAAGCTATAACATGTGAGGTCAATCACCCAGCTTTCATGATCCTCAACATTGGTACCTGCAAACTAGGGAAAATAGTGATGTTATGATTTGAGTGTGTCCTCCAAAAACAAGCACGTCAGAATCTCAATCCGAAAATTGATGTTACTGGTATTTGGAAGTGGGGGCCTGTGGGAGGGGGTTATAATAGATGAGGCTGTGAGAGTAGAGACTGCATGTTGACATTTGTAGCTTTGTAAGAGGAAGAGAGATCCCAGCATCCTCTCTCTGTGCCACCAAGTGATGCCCTCCATAATGTTATGCCTACCTTCAACTCGATATTGGACCTCTTTAATTTTGTAATAGCAACAGCAAACAAACTAAGGCAACTGAGGCTGATGTTGGTTCAGATACCCCCTTCATGATGTAGGGAGCAAGAACAAGCCTGGTAAGACAGGAAAGCCAAAGCTCCGGGGTCTACCCTGCAATGCAAGGATACAGCCTTACGATTTTTGTGTCCTTCTGTCCAGGTTTATTTGCTAGATTGGCATGAGACATTCTGGAATAAAGTCTGTTGGCGAAAGAAGTCGAAGCGGCCAGACCCTGGATTACCAGGGATGTGTGACAGAAGCTTTTGAATCTCAAGAGAAGCAAGTAAAGACTGAAGGGAAAGTTAAGAGAAATTGCTCCACTTATGTTGTGATATGTTATGAAATAAATGCTACTCTGACACTCTCAGGATGTATTGCAATTCTCCTTTGTCTTATTTAAA